ATAATTATTAAATTATTAGATATAATATATAATTATATAAATATACAATATATTAATAAATATAATATTTATTAAATTAAAATTATTATTATTATTAAAAATAATTGTATTTTTCAGTGGGATTTAGTTCTGGTGGATTAGAAAGGGACTGAGGCAGAAATAATGGATGGACACCATGTTATGTTAGTGCAGACAATGTCAACTTCAGCAAAGTGTTGAAGAGTAATAATAAAATGTTTGTTTTGAAGCTTCATCTCATTCTAAATACATCTGAAAATAATGAAACTGCCTGAATGTAACCTGTTGAAATATGGCACATTGATTTTACTTACTACTAAGCAATAAATATAGAAGAAGTGCTAAGTTAGGACATTTAAACTTCTACAGAATTTCAAAAACAAGCACAAATAATTTGCTAGAATTGGCTACAAAACTAGGAATTATCTTACACAATGAAATGTCTCTGCTTTCAGCATTGCTGGGTAGCATAGCTATTTGAAAATGCTTATTGAAAGCAGTAACATAAATATTGCTTTTTGTTTAGAACAACAGAATCACTGGAGGCATTAGTCAGGTTGTCTATTTGAAGAATTCTGGAACAGAAATAACAAAAAAAAGATGTAAGGCTGGTGCTTAACTGTACCTTTCTCCTCTCTACTGCAATCCCAATTCCCCAACACTTGTAATTCAGGGACTGCTGGTGTACTTCCATCTCTTCCCCCAGCCCGGGTCCTGGAAATCTGATTGAAGGGGTGGAGTATCACACTGCTGGAGAGAGCTTGGCTCTGCTTTATTCTGAGCTGAGCATGAGGGATCTGAAATTGGCTCTTCACACACAAGTTTGTCATCCGATTTCTTTGCAGAGAAAAAATCTTTGTTCTTCTTCAAGAGCAAACTTCTTTCCTGAAATGTACACAAACATGACTGTAAGCCAAGGGTGGCCAGTCTGGTGAGTCGGTTGAGTGCAGTTCCCATGCCAAAGCAACATCATGTGAGCAGGGAGAGGGCCAGGCTGGCGTGGGAGCACAGGACACTCCAAATCCCCAGCTGCCGAGGACATAAGCTAACAGGGACTGCTGAAGCTGACATCACCGAGCTGCCGTGGGTCCCCATCTGCACACCCAGCCCAGCCTCATCTCTGAGTGGGCTCCTGGGGAACCAGTGTCACCTCCTGCCTCGTAGCTGCTCCCAACCCACCCCTCAAACATCCTTCAAAGGGAGACTGGTGAATATTTACTGTCACCTTCATTCTCTGAAGTTTTTTCTATGAGGGAGAGAGTCCGGAAGGTCAATACCCTTGCATGGACAATGCTAAGATAAAAAGAGTTAAATAAGTTGTTCCATGAGCAGCCAGAGAACTCAACAACCCTGTTTTCCTGCAGATTTGGAGAGGTTTTTGCCTTTATTCTCACCTCCTTCAGCTACAGGACCCCAGCCTGGCAGAATGCATAGGATGATGGGCCAAGGCTGGGTTCTTTCCCTAGGTGGGGCAATTACTGGAATTTTCTACTCAGAACAAGGGCTTTTCCTGGAACTTGTAACCATCTGCCCTATTCAAACTTGGCTGAGACAGCCGGTGAGCTTAAAAATTATTGCAGAGGATTGACAGAAAGACATAAACTGCAGTTCTTCAGGAAATCAAGCTAGCACTGTCCTTCACTTCCCCCATCAGCCCCAAGGGAGCTGGTGCAGTAACCTCTGGAAATAAAAACCTTGGAACTTTTGTTTTGCCCTGGCAGGGTCTTTGCTCTGTCAGAGAAATGGAAACAATTTAAAATGCAACAAAATCATTCCCTGCCACAAAACTCAGCCGGATGCCTTTCCAATCTGCACAAAAAGATGCCTTTCCCCAAACAGGATTCAAAGAAACAAATTGATTTATTGATCCATCACAAAAAGGTAAGTACCTGTGAAAAACTGGAGAATTCAATATCTGCTCTGCCCTATTTCCTCAGCCACTTGACAGGGTTTAAGTTACTGACAGGATAATTAAACAACATGAAATTTTAAGTGTTAAACTAAATATTCTACCTTCTGCTGTTCAGTTAGTGGTTCTTCAGCAAATTCTTCTGCAGTAGGTTCTAGCTCATCTGGCTTTTGATGCTTGTCCAAAGCAGCCAACACAGCATCATGAAGAGTTAGAAAGAACCCTTCTTTAGTGACACAGCTGTCAAAGAAATCATTATTCTCCAAATCTGCTATCACAGAGGCTATAAAAAATGGGGGGAAATAAATAAAGCAGCAAAATCACACCAAGCAGTACAGCTAAAACATTTCACTTACATTTAAAACTTATCCTTGGAGATAAGTCAATATTAGTAAACAAATAGTATACTCACAGTGACAGCCAGCTATAAGGACTGTAATGCCAATATTGTGAAACATATGGATGATCTGTGGAAAGAATTACATACAGGCATTAGAGCAATTCTGCATTATACAAGTGCATTAGAAGGTAAAATATAAACAGGGAAAGAAAACATGCCCTGTAGTGTTTTATCTCTGAAGAAAACCCTTATTCTGGTATCTCAAATCCTGTTTTTTAATTCAGCACTGAACAGCCACGTTGTCTAAGATCTTAATGAATGCTGACTCCAGAAGCAGAGCAGGTCAGAGCCAGACCCCAGGCTGGCCCTCCCACCGTTCACTATGCAGCACACAGTGCTATTTCTTCACTTAAACAAAAAAAGTTCTCACAGGAACAGACTAACTTGAAACATCTCTCCATGTGCAGATGCTGTGCACACCTAGAAATGACAACAGGAATCTATATTTTCAAGCACAACCTGCAATTCTGGTTGTCTCAATTTTCATGTCCAATATTTTTAGTTATATCAAGTCACTGTCAAAGGAATCAGATTTTAGAGGGGATAGATTCTCACAATTTTCTCAGTGCCTGACCCTTTGTAATTAACAGATCTCAAAGTAGTTTGTTTTTTGGTTTGGGTTTTTTTTTAAAGGCAATGAAACTCAGTATTTTGGAGAATCACAGAATTTCAGAATATGGGGCTGGAAGGAATCTGGAAAGACTGATTTTACTCCCCTTTCCCAATGGGAGGGTCATTCAATGGGAATCAAATACATCTTCAAGGATTTTAAGGATATCAGCTCAGTTCACAATTATTCCCAATAGGTGTTAGTCTAACCTGTTATTAAACCAAATTCTTTTGAAGCTGAGCTACAGAGTTTGAGGAAGCTGACTAAGAATCCATCTGGAAACTGTACTTTTCTGAGAAGCACAGCTACATTAAATTTATTTTTGCTAAATATATCTCTCTATTGGCTACATCCCCACTTGAAGACATAGAAGTTCAAGGCATACTTCAAAGAAAAGGCCAATAATTAGGCAGTCAGCAATTACAACAGAATCACTCTAGAAGAAGCCAGCTGGTTGTTTTATATTTGACACTTCTAAAGAGCATTTTTTTTTTAAAGTGTCCAGCTAGAAGAAAAACTAAAGAGTCAAAATGGAAAAACCAAATCAGGCATTTTTATAAATGCATTTTTAGTTTACATGATTCTAAAACTGGTGACAACAGATGACACAGGTTTTTGCAAGTGTTTTGTACGGATAGTGGTGGTTCTGTTCTTTAAAACAAATTCAGGAATTTATTAATTTCTGAAACTTGATAGCTAAATCTTGCACCCTGAAAGGTCGACTGGAAGATGTGTGGGTTTTATGCAGCAGGGTGTTTCAGGCTAACAAGAATTAGAAGACATTGGGTGAACTTCAGGCTTCCCTTTACGTGCAGTTGGGTCGCTTACCTGTCGTAATAACTCTGAACCCATCAAATCTACAAACTGCACCATGCTGAAGTCTAAAATGATGGTGCGAACTGGACATGGCAAATGCATCGGCTGATCTTCCTGATCTAACTGCACAGAGGAATTATCTATTGCAGAGCCTAGTGAAAGGCAAGTTCTTCCCCCTTCATCCTTGTTCTTCTCAGTTGTAAGTCCCGTGCTAAAGCCTGGGGGTGAATCAGCTGCTCCCACCAAGAGGGTCCTAGAGCTGACTTTGTCTCTGTACTTTGTCCAATGTACTAAATTCACTGAAGGTGACAAGGAGTGTCTGTCTGTCTGAGGTTGCTTCACCAGTTTCTCTGTATATGGTACCTAAGATGGAAAATGGACAGTACACCAGTGATTAGAAGAATTGGGCCCAGGAGGTGGAAAATGTTTTGCTGCAAGTAAGAGAGCGCTGTAAATCACATGATATCGCTTCTTTCATGGTATAAAAACACATCTGAAATAACAGCAAATATAGGACAAAGCCACAAGAGCATGCAAAGCAGCAGGTGACTTAGGCAGGCCTCAGGTGTGGTTAGTGGAGTGCCTTCAGCCACCAGTAGGACAGCGGTACCTCACTCTTCCACAGCTTGGAATGGCCTGTGACACTGGAATCTTGTCACTTCTGCCTTTCAGAAAAGAAAAGAAGAAAAAAAAAAGACTGTTCATGACCATTGCTTTTCTGAGCAACAGGGAGCTGACCCTTCCTGGCTGAGTTCTACAGACCTTTGATTCATCTCCGTTCTTGTATGGCAGATGGCCACAGAATGCACTGATTTAATCAATTTATCTTTCTTAATAGCTTCTCCTGTGTTTTTAAATTTTTATAATGCAAGAAAAAGTCACTCTCTACATTCTTGTACTTCAAAAGATGATGTTACATTATCTAGCACTTTCATTCCTAAGCACCTTGGTGCCACATATGTTTTCCTGACCACTGTCTTTCAACCCATTTCTCATACAATGACTTTTACAAATCACATATAACTGCTTGAAAAATATCTTCTGAAGGCAGCCCATTCTCTGAAGTTCCTTTCATTGTCTAGAGACAATTCAGAAAATTCAGATAAAGAGGGATATGAAGGACTCTAGCAATGCAATCCTCTAATCATGATAACTGGAGCTGCCTTTAAGGCATTTTATACTTGTGCTTGGCAGCATTGGCAGTGGAACACATTCCTCATAAGCAAGGGAATTCTCTCACTTCTACAGGGAAAAAGAAGATAATCCCTACTGAAGCAACTGACAAAATTAATTCTTTCAGCTGAGGAGAGGATATGTTGAATATTTCAACTGCTAGTTAATTCACCCAGTAAGCTGAGCTACTATTGCTCTATCACATAAAGTATGTGTAAAGAAATACAGTGGTAATGTTTGCTTATTTTCATACAGCAAATATATCTACGCTTTATATAAACATTTACAGCCTTTGCAGTTCTGGCAAGTTAAGAACATTGTCCTCAGTTACATAAAACCAAGCACCTTAAACAAACAGACTAGATAAATGTACTTTTAAAGCTGACCCTAGGTGGTGGTAGAGGTGGACCACAGGAACATTTAAGATCTCTTCTTTCCACTGCAGCATCAGACAGACTCCGTGACATTAAAGCCCTCATTTCACCTTCATCTAGACGCGTTGCTTTCATGTCCATCTGAAAAAGAAAGGCAGTTTTTATTAGGTTTTTTTATCTCCCTCATGCAGACTCTTAGAAACTTCCACTGACTGAAAAAGCAGCATTTACCTTTTGTAGCAAATAGGTTTTGAAGTGATTCATGTTTGCGAAAGAGATGGAAGAACAGCACTGGAAGATTTTGATACCTTCAATCTCCCTTGCCTGCAAACCAAAAGTTGTACGTGTGAGGGTTGTACCTAGCAGGAGCTACTTTTCCCCCCCTGTGTTGTACTCTGCAAGGTCCTACCCTAAGGACAGAGATTGTCTGGTCACATTGTTGACAACACTGCATCCTGGTAGTGGCATTGGCAACATGGAACTAATAACCATAAACTAATCTGCTTCTCTTGCAATTAAAAACATACCTCCAGCAGATCTATCACAGATGACAGTTGGCTGCTCTAATATAAAATAAGCCAAATTATTTTTAATGCTCATTACAGAAAACATACACTAGACCTTTGCCTTACTAACCTTGTCCTTATATTATTTAATTATTTGCAAATCCATCAGCATAGCATTGGGAATGTACCCATGTGGCAAAGGCAAAGCTTTCTATTGTTGTATTGCCTAACTCTGTATGGTGAGTGTGTTAAAAAGGCCCGTGCCCTTCAGATTATCCCATCACCTGTGAGTCAGTCTAGCACATGCACAGTTGTTATTGTGAAAACACAGGTAGAGTGGACAAAACCAGACTGAGAAAAACAGGTCAGCAAAATATGCCAAACAGCTCTGGAAATGATGGCAGTGCAGTTTCCACCATGGAGACAGTGCAGATGGACACGAGGAGCTCCACAGGGCTCAGGCAGGCTGAGCTAGGTACCTGAATCCCTTCGTGCTACAGATACATAAGCATTCTCCAGTTTTCAAAGTTCTGAATCAAATGAGCTGAGTCTGAATGGTCACCCCCAGGCAATTAAGAGAAGACAGATTACAGAGAGAGATGGAACATTTGTTTTTTGTTTCCTCTTACAGCTTTGTAGACGGATAAACTTCTATAAATATTCATGTTTGGAATCTGTCCCAGTACCACCATCTTCATTCTGAAACAAGATGTTTATTAGTTTTTCACAGAGAACAGAGAAAAACCATCTGTTTCCAAAAGCTTAATCTCCATTTCTCTCCTCTTCACTGGATACACCAACAGTAACTTAGAGGGGGTGAGTACAAAAGTTATTCACTCATAATTAGGGTTCTTTGAGTAGGGGAGCAGTACACAAACAGTCTTCAGCTACACTAGTGCCCTCAAGAATATATCATGTCCCATTTTTAGCTCTGGAACACTTGGATTATTGTTATTACACTAGGAAGCATGTTCCTTCTCAGTCTTTCCACAGCCCTCCTCAAAGATACTACCTACAGGTGGAGGCAGCTGTAACTTGTGCTTAGAGCTGGCTGCACACAGGCTGGGGCTGATCCAGAGGTTGAGTAGCAGCATTAATACAGGGTTTTGCCTCACAGGAGAATATTTTGGTTTGGGTACCGTGCTTTGCATGGTTTTGGGGCAGGTTCTGGTCAGTTCAGGGCATGGGTTGAATAAACATGCAGTTGGCTGGCCAAGTTGCTGGCCCCGATGTATGGAAAATTGTTGTCAAGACACTATTCAAAGCAATCTGCTTGCAGATAACTTCCCAGGCTTTTTTGAGTGTCGACAGCATAATGCTTGCACTGGTAGGAAATTGATAAGTGATTATATATCCTGAAGGTAAGCTGAAAAACAGGGATATTTAACTGAACAGTGGCTGCAGAACTGCCCTTTCACAATGCTCGTGAAATCTCAAGGCAAACCCAAGAGCATAACTCTGAGCTGAGAGAGTTTCAGACAGCAACTGAAGTTCTTCCTGAAGGTATTCTTCAGATCAGATCACAAGCAGTTCGATATTTGCAGCAATTAAGTTATTTCCTACCTCTTTCCATGTTATTCTAGAGGTTTCGGTCTACTCAGACAAGCACCTCACTATCATGGTAAATCTCCTGAGGTGTGGCTTGGATTTATGAATGATTTTCCTGTTTGGATTAGCAGCTAATAAACTGAGTAATGTGAGCCTGACGTAACCTCCCTCCTCTATCATCAACTGAGTTTATGGAAAAGACAAAGCAATGTGGTAAATGGCAGAAAAGACTGAGGAATGTATTTGAAATAAAGACACAACATCTCATTTTATCCCTACAGAAGTGTGTACACAGATGACATCTCCTGGCTGATGCCCACACCACAATAAACACAGTACACCTGCAGAAGGGACCAATCCAGAGCCCATAAACTCAGAGATCACTGGTTTGGGATAGCATTAGAGAGACTCCAGAATGACCCAACTGAAGTGTTAACAAATATGAAACAGCTTTTTCATTGTCACATGTATAACTATCTCTAAAACATCAACTCTAAGAAAATACAGTATTTTTGTTTTAAAAATTACAAGTACCTGTGTGATCTAATGGTGATTATGAAGAATGTAAATCCCATGGCAATCGCTAAACCGATATCAAGACCAAAACAAAGCACTGCACCAAAAGTTACAAGCCAAATAACCTTTGAACAAGAGACAGAGAGAACATGAGCAGTAAAAAGATGCAAAATGATCTCTATCTAACTCAGCCCCAGCATTTGCAAATTGCAGACAATATAAAAGGTTAGAAATGGTAATACATGTAGAGCTTTGTTGGCACATCTGGACCAACCCAGTCCTGGAAGCAGTTGAAAACAAGGATCATAAATCACAGTTCAAATCTCCAGACTTTTAAAAACTTCAATTATTAGAAAAAAACCACATTATCTCGGGGGTTTTTCTCTTTATGAGAAATCCTGCACAAGAGCTGACATGACAATGTGGCCTTGGTTGGCAGACAGACAATTTCCTTCTCAGAGGATGTGAGAAGCAACAACAATCATCAGTTTTGCCTGTATAGAATTAATTGCAAATTGATTTGAAGAGATTCCAATACACTTCTTTCAGTGGGTATTTCAAAGGATCCCTTTTCTAAGGGAATACCCACTGCTTTGCCTTGTCCTCCCAAAACATCCATTTCTCCCTATAAGACACATTCCAAATCCTAAGTAACATTTTTTTGTCACTTACAAAATGATATTTATCCCGTCTCCACAGGATGGGAATGTCCCGAAATTTTTCAAGAAAAGGGAGCATGTTAAATATCACAACAGCAGCCAGTATACACTGTGCAAATAAAATAAAATAAATAAAAAAAAAAGCTTCTATTATTTTGTTATTTTTTGTTTGCAACCACAAACATGCTCAGGAACAGATATCCATGACAAAGTGAAAATACAAAATTAAAATCTTCTAATAGCTTTATTGCCATAATTTTTATAATTTAAGTAGAATAGTTCTGTGATGGAATCATAGAATAGAATCATGGAATGGTTTGGGTTGGAAGGGACCTTCAAGCTCATCCAGTCCCAACCCCCCTGCCAGCAGCAGGGACACCTTCCACTAGACCAGGTTGCTCAAAGCCTCATCCAACCTGGCCTTCAACACTTCCAGGGAGGAGCAGCCACAGCTTCTCTGGGCAACATGGGACACTGTCTCACCACCCTCACGCTGAAGAACTTCTTCCTAATATCTAATTTAAACCTCCCCTCTTTCAGTTTAAACCCATTTCCCCTTGTTCTGTCATTAACTGCCCTTATGAAAAGTCCTTCCCCAGCTTCTTGATCTGCAAACTGACATGAAACTAGGATGTAACTCCTTGATTGATTTCACAATCACTTCTGTCAATGTAACTGGACTTCCTCTCGAAGTGCTGTGTGTAGTTTCCATGACAGTGTTCCTCAGTGAATCCCTGCGGCACTAGGAGAAAGGCCAACACTATCTACAGAATTAAGAGCTGCTGTTTCAAAGAGTGGTTTCAATTAGCATGGGTAGTTCATTGCCAAATTTAGGAAGTTGTTTGACACCATTTGTTGAAACAGCCTTTCTTAGCAAAGAAAAGGAGACTGAAGGGAAGTAGATGGTTAAATTCTGTTTTGTCAGTTAGTTTTAGGAAAGGGATTAATTCTCCCATCTTAGGAAGAGGCCAGGAAAAAAAATCAGGAAGTAATGCTCTGCCAGTGGTTCCCTAAAAAAACTTACATTAAAAAAGACAGTCTAGATAAAAAATTTAAGGGAAAAGTAGAAAACTGAGTACTCTGAATAATCTACAGTAATAAAACGTTTATAGGCACACTGGCAATGCAAAATCCACAGAAGGTAGTTTAGGAGGCCACATGGTTTTAAAATAAACCTCAAAGACCAAGGCAGAATCACAGACACTAACCCCAGATTTCCATTAATAAAGATTTTTATTCACCTCTTTAACAATATTGAAGCACCCATCTTGGAACTACTTATACTGATGCAAGAAAGGAACTCATGAATTTGTTATACAGGTGTGCAGAAGCTTGGAAGATATGGGGCCAAAAGTGAAATACAATGTTTAAATTACAGGGGCTGGATGTGAAATTTCAGTCCAGTTTTACCCAAGGAATTTTAGCTTGTTCTGATCAGTGAGAGATGGGAGAGAGAGGCAATATTTATTATCTAATATGTTTAACCTGCTGAAATTTATGAGTTTAAAGTAATGATTTTGGTTTGGTCTATCCCTGAAAACAGTTAACACTAGAATATGATATAATCCCTTACTGTTCCAGAAAAATCTTCATATTATGCTTACAAAAATCTCAATTTTATGCTTAGAAAGCAAGTAGGCTGCTGCCATAACTATTTCAGTTCACTTACATTAGGTATCACCTGGAAAAAGTGTCCTAGTTTCAGTGCAATCACCAGCATTATAAACGCTCCAATCGCTGCTGCTAACTGAACAGAAATACTTTATTAGAGGCCTGACAGAACCATTTCCTTACTTGTCTTCTCTAAACAAGGAATTATGGCCCATGGAACACCACTGACCAGGAAAAATAACCAGGGGACAATTAACAAAGGCCACAGGTATGCTGCAATGCATGGTACAAATCCTGCAGGACTCCAGCTGAAAGAGTTTTGTGTAGATATAAATTTGGCCTAAATGGACTGTTCTTAGGCACAACGAAACAGTGCAGGGTTTGGGGTTGATAATTTCACCTGAGTCATAAGAGACTTCTCTTGTAAGTGAAACTTTGGAATAAACTCTTTATTAAACAGAAATACTTCTATGATATTTACATAGAAGAATGTAAATACAGAAATACTTAACTGAAGCATGTACAGACGTTCAGTTAAGAGGTATGATAAAAATATTATTATATATTACTTATTACACTCTCTTGCCCCTTTAAAAAAGTGAAGATCACAAAGTCAAGTACTCAAAAGTTCAGATTCAGTTAAGAGGTATGATAAAAATCTATTACTTATTACACTCTCTTGCCCCTCTAAAAAAATAAAGATCACAAAGTCAAGTACTCAAAAGTTCAGAAGAAGTGGCAGAATTAAGGGTGCATGAACAATCTTCCATTTGACTTTTTGGGTATATTCAGTAAAATACAGTTTTAAACAGCATGATCATACCCTGTTCTCCCCATAGGATCCCAGCTGCCTTCATGGCAGATATCATATAAGTATAGAACATAATATAACATGCACAGAGAGGTTATCTGAATTCATGTGCCATGGGTATGTAACTTTATATCACACAAATTGTTTAGATTAAATGTCAGCCTCTACTCAGTATACAGTGATTTTAGATAAAGAGTTTGGAAGCTTCACAAATCCAGCCCAGCTCACCTGTGTTCTTCCACCTGTCTTCTCTTGAATGACAGTTCCAGAAATAACAGAGCTGACAACGAAGCTTTTGAAAAATGAGCTGCAAATATTGCATAGCCCCACAGCTATCAGCTCCTGGAAAACAGAAACAGAAGGAAGCAGAGAAAACTCCAAATCAGTGACTTCATAGAAGTTGCTTATCAGGAATTCCTTTCCTTTTGATCATTCTTGCTGGTTGCTCATCTGTGTTGCTAAGCTCAGGAAACCTTCTGGAAGGTTAAATGAGCTCTCTTAAAAGCCATACAGTTCTCACAGCTGAGGAACTCATGGACCCAAAAATTCAGTTCTTTCTTTCAAAGAAATCCACTTAGAACCCCACAGCGATGAAGCACTGACTTTCAGGCTAACATGTGCCAAATCTCAGTACGCAGCATAGTACACCTGGACAAAAGCTGAGTGGAAAAGACATTCCCTTTATATTTATCCCCAGAGGCTTTGAGAAGTCAGGGCAGCTTCCTTACTGGCTTAAATTCATTCTAATAAAGATCACAGCAAGTTAAACATGGAGTAGTGCAAACACCTAATGCTTCCTAACTCTAGCACACTGGAAACTAACACAGTTGTAGCTTAGAAGCCTCTCAGAGCAATCACTCTGGTCAGAGAATCCATATGCTGGGATGGCAGCCACACATAGGGAGGAACTACAGCTGCTCTGGCCATTTATTTCAGATAAATTATTAATTTATCACACTTTTCTAGCCTCATGAATTCAGGAGAGCAATGGTCCTCAAGGATCAGCTGCAGCACAGTGTGTGTGTGTGAGGTTCATCCCAGTCACTGGGATTATTCAAAGGCCTCTTGGTCAAAGGTGACCATGTTTTGGCCTTCACATTATTGGCTTTTAACATCCACTTTCCATAGGGAAGGGTAACAAATTGCTACAAAACCATCATCTGGGATATTCACTTCATCTTTCCATTTCTACCAGTGTCAGGCAGTGAGTGGCTTTGCAAGTTGAGTTCAGCTTGCTGTTTAGCCTAGGAGGTATGTGCTCTCACCTGATTGCTGGCAATATCATAGTTGTGAAGTGAAGCATACCTCTCTCCAACAAAAACAAGAAGGAAATAGCTTACAATAGCAAGGGACAAGGCATGCAGTATGATCTTGCTTGGGTTTGATAAATCTGGAGGTGTAGGAGGCAGAAACCTAAAGGATCAGAGAAGAGAGAAGTTTAGAGCTCTGTCCACAGTAACTCCAAACCCAGGATCATTATTGGAGGCATCCAGCAACCCTCAGGAGATTCTCAGATCTGTAATAATTCCACCTCATAAAAAAATGCAAATTATTTCCTCTGTGTGCTAACAAAAACTATATCCAATAAATAAAACTGCAGTTTGAATTCTGCATGTGCTTGGAAATGATCATAGAATCATAGAATGGTTTGGGTTGGAAGGGACCTTAAAGCTCATCCAGTCCCAACCCCCCTGCCATCAGCAGGGACACCTTCCACTAGACCAGGTTGCTCAAAGGTGATGATGCAATTAAATCTCTTGAAGAGTTATTCCCATAGCTGTGCTTCCCAGGAAAAGTCAGCCCAGGTCTGACTTCAAGAACAGGCTGAAACATCTCTTTCATATCTCAAAAGAACAACCTCATTAACAGCAAAGATAACTGACCTCTGAGGAATCAAACTGGTCACAGCACTACTAGATTCAGCGTGAAGATGAATGTGATTAGAAATAACGGTGACTGTGATAATCTGGGGAAGAGAACAAGAAGCAATACAAGAGATTGTACAGCATTTGCTCCTGGAACCACACACAATCCATCTAAAGACAGTTAATCTTGTAGGAGCATTTAAAGGACTTAAGCATAGATTCACTGCATAAATATAACAACATCTTGAAGTAATATGTGAAATGTTTTATGAAATAAAGCACATTATACTCTCTGATAGTTCAATTATCACAATGGCATTTTGAAGATCACTTACCAAGAGAAGTTCCATAGGAAAAGCGATAGGACTGTGTTTATAAGTTATCACAATAGATTTACTGAGCTGAAGCACAACCATGCTAAACAAAAAGAGCAATATGCTGGTGGCATTAGCCTTTGGGAGAGCCAGGAAGAAATGAAACAGGTTCTGAAAAAGAATCATCACAGAGAAGATCAGAGGCAGATACTACAACTATTTTTTATATTCCAGAAGATTGACATAGGTTGCCCTGACACTTGAACTCATCCTTTCTGCTATGGTAGTATCTTCAGTTAGAAGAATAGAGATGATCAGAGCAAAACAGTATTTAAAAAAAAGATAAATCTATCTCAGAAAACACTGCCACAAATAGCTCAGATCATGTACTGTCATTCTTCTCTTTCTACACGACCTTTCTCTCACATGGTTAGACTGACATTACTAAAATAAATTAGGATGAATTAGCTTTAACTTGTCTTGAGCTTGGAGTCTGCTGCTTCTTTGTCAGCTATGATAAAGATACTGTGTGCCCAATAGCTTGCCCATGATGATCTATCAAGGAAAATACTACAGTTTTGACATGCTGAAAATATATTATAGTGCTACAGAAATAATTAAAAATAAATACAAAGACTTTTCTTCTTGCATGTCACACAATAAGCTCCATCCACCGTTCAAGACAACAGGAAGGTGAAGTAAATCACAGCTGAGACTTGCACAGATATCCCTTAGCAACTGACTTAGACTGAAATTGCCTTCAGTTTCTGAGGCTGTTATTTTCTTTCCCCTCCAAGAAGCATGCATTTCTTCAGCTAATAATAAATTCACTCACATAGAATATGTCCAGGGGGCCCTTATGGAAGTCAAGGATGATGTCAAAAATAAAGGTAAACTGGGCTACAATGACATGCAGTGCTGCTGCAGTGAGGTAAGCATCAATCAGAGTCTTTGGCACGTATGTCGTTACAAACCCCAGGCAAAAGCAGCCCAGCAGCAACTGTGTGGAACAAATGAGAAGCGAGATGTGATATAATTATCAGTGTCTAAACCCGCCCTTCTTGTTTTCATATTTGAAGAGCATGACTCTTCACTGCCATACATGATGGATAGTTATTTGAACAAGCTGTTTTCATTATGCACAATTAAGTAAGACACTGACAAACCAAAATAGAAGCCGTTTACATCGAGTGTGTGCAGTTATGCCAGACTCCCTAAGTGTCCACATACTGCAGAATTGGTCAACATAAAGGATAATAATTTATTTCACACATTAATATATCAATCATGGACACATTAATCTTAACCTATCGTATCTTCTTCAGACAGCACGAGAGGAAGAGACAGACCTTCATGACCCACATTGTATTCAAATGTGCTGAGCTTAGTATTTGTGGTAACAAGATGCAAGCAGTTCCAACCCTGACATTTGTATGAAGAACACACATAAAGATACATCATTAAGGATATAAAATAGATTCATCTTCTACCTGAATGATGCCAGTCAAAAATGTTACAGATGCAGTAAGTGTCAAGGCCTCCATAAATGTAGGATCTGAGAATTTGTCCAGTGAACCATTAGAGGACAACGTTTGGTTAAAATTAAGAGTTTTCAGAGTGTTTGCCACCACCATATTTAAGATGCTGAATGAGCCTGGAACCAACAGAACAGAGAACAGAAAATGGAACTACATGAGATGTTGCAACAAAAGACTTATCTTAAAACCACACATCCCTCTCTGCCCTCCACCATCAGTCTGTGCAGTACGAGACAGTCTGTCTTCACTCATATATATATATAAAATCCACATATCTAATTAATTTTTTACTGTTTCTAAGTATCTAAAGTTCCAAAGTCCTGTCTGAAAATTTCAAATTCCTACCATTTTATGAGTGAAGTCTTTAGCTGGTCAGATGCACAACAAAAAGATTTTAATGTAAAGCACAAAAAAATGGATGCATTACAACAAGCTGCCAGAAAAGGCTGAAAAACACACTCAGTCAGAGAAGGAACTGCCAAGTTACCCAAGAGCTCCACACAGCCACTTATTATGATAATATGAAGGGCTTTTGCACATGTAAACAGCATTTTAATAAGCCAGCCTCTGAACAAATTAAGAATGTAAACTCATCAGCAGTTCAGCAATGGCAAGAAACTGCATGTAGAAGACCATGGAGAAGATCAGGAGCCAAATCATGATTCACAGTAAGATCCTGAGGGTAAATGGGAAGCAGCTTGCACTGGTCCTTTACGTAGGAGACGCCTACACGAAAAACGACAATCCAGCCGTCTCCTTTGAGCTGGTGTCCACGATAGCTCACTTCCTCAGGGGTAGAAAGGACCTCGCAGCTGAAACTTGACTAACTTGGTGAAATTCTCACCACAGATCAGCTGCAGAAGTGGAACCACAATGAACTGAGGATCTGCAGGTCTGGATTGTCACCTAAGTAACATCTATTAGATGAAATAGATTAGGACAACTTGCCAGTTTTTTGAAGTAGCGTTGAAGGTAATCACTAAATCCTGCAGAAACAATTCACAGCACAAAATAAACCTCACCAATTGAGATATGATGCGAAGTCCCAAATATAACATATGTCATCGAGCAGCAGAACGCAGAAAGGAAGCCATTGACATTTGGCAGAGGTAACCTGGTCAGCCAAACTCCTAGAAGTCCTGGAAAGCAAAAATCCGTGTCTGAACTCAAGCAAATTGGGCAAGTTCTCCATCTCTGGTTAATACTTTTAAGTAAAATTTTGCTGATGAAAACCTCCCAACCCTTATGAAAATCCCATTATGTTTATTCACAGAATCACCACACATAAGTGGCACAGGCGTTAGTCTTGCTTAAACTACTTGCCACTTTGGGTCTAAACATGCCAAATCAGTGAGCAAGATGGCCAGTCAACTCCTATGGTGTGTTTTTCAGGAGTTCAGGACATGATAAAGCCAGGCCAGTTAGTGACAAAAGCCAATGCTGTTTTACAACATGGGTCCTTGCTAACTAGTAATTAGACAAAGAACCTGAACAACTCTTTGTTTAGTTCACCTACTAGTGGGGTGGCTACGCACGTGGGTATCTAACAGACCTGATTTTGCAAAGTGAATTTTAATTATAAGTTATTTTGGTTGCAATATAGGCAAATGCTGCTATTAGTCTATATTTTGAGTTAGTTTCAGGGAAACTTCCTGAAAAAAAGTAGTGTCCTGTCCTTGAAATTACACTGTGTAACATCTGATTATAGAAGAGAAGTTTTCCTGCAAATATGCAAATAAATTGGTTAATGATTTAAGGAACCTCTAAGGTTAAAGTTCCCAATGATCTGATGATATTAGAAAGAACAGAAACACATACAGGAGCCAGATTATGAAAAGCTTGATATACAAAAGGAAGCTAGAGTGGGTTTGTTTTTTCTCTCTGCCTACCTTGAGGAATCTGAATCATCCCAACACTTAGGCCTGCATGTAGATCTCTCAAGATCCATTCTCTGAACCGATATGAAAACAGCCAGTTCAGGACAGGGAACAGCTTCAGTGTGATCCTTCTGAACCTTCCCCAGGAGAAGCTGAAAAGAATCGGATAAACTAAGCTCTTATGCAATGGCTTTTACAGTCTCCATCTCTGCAGCTCTCTGGCATGGATGGCCTCACACTCTGTATAACATGAGTCCTACACAGGCACCCCCATGCACTTGCATTCCATTCGGCTGAATCGCAAATACTCCGTGTGCCATTTGTATGAAAACCCGTCAGCACCAGAGCCCAGAGTGTTGAATGCATCAATTACTTGACCTCATTAACACCACAGAAAAATAAGAGATGGTATTTTGATTACTCTTCTTCTGATCTAGAAGAAAAACATACAAACACTCCATCTGGGGGGGGGTGGAAATAGGCAAGCCTATCCCATCTCCCCCAAACAGGCAAATGTTTCCTGCATTAGATTATTTAATAAGGAGAGGCAAGCAGGAATTGACCTCTATGATTTATTTTGTGCATCTATTTTTGAATCAGTATTTCCAGTAGGTAAACTCTGACTAACCCCACAGCCCTGTGCTCCTTCTTCCCCTTTTTAATCCCCTGGCAATGTTGGTGATTTTCTATTTACAAGCCAAATGCAAGTGATGTAGTGTCAGCCCAAGGCTTCTGGCAGCCTTGAACAGTGGCTGTGGGGACTGACCCGAGTTAACACCATGGAGCTGAGTCCCTTTCCATCATTTTATTGTCCTGGGTGACTACACACTGGGCTGACAACTGGATATAAAATGGAGAAGAGAGAAAACACATGAGACAGAGAAGTGGAAAAGAAACAGGGAAAAGAGTATGAGGAAGCAAGGCAGACACAGTTCTTAAACAACGAGTTGGGGGAGGGAATAAAGAGATTTTCTTATTAAGCATCAAGTGATCAAGTTTCCTATAATATTAGCTATGATTTTAGAGCAAAATTCTTCCTTGGATCTCTGGATCTCTTGGATCTCTCCTTGGATCTCTAATTTTCTTATTAAGCATCAAGTGCAATGATCAAGTTTCCTATAATATTAGCTATGACTTTAGAGCAAAATTCTTCCTTGGAACTCTGGACAAGAGAGATTTTATTGCACCAGGTGTTTCTGTCTGGGTGGACAGACTGTTAACTCTTGATCACATGTTATAATTATACACAATTCAACCCCTTCCATCAAGTAATTTTGTTTCTCTGACTCCAGAACTTCACCTAATCTCTCTTTTTTTTTATATATATATATAAAGAGACAGTGCTGGAACAGAAGGCTATTGCACAATCTGAAGGACCTCACTATTAGAGAAACTAATCTTGATGACAAGTCTTCATGGAGAATGAAAACTAGAAAACACAATAGCAACTCACACTATGGCTCCATTTGCCTTCACTTATCACCAGGAAATTACTTTAGAGCAGCCTAAGTTAGACATGACCCATAATTTCAGGCTGCAGTCCCACACATAGCTAAGCTGATGTAAGAGCTAGTTATACAGAGAGAGAGAGGTCTGGCTCCCCTACTTTCCCTTCCCTGTGTGGTCCTGTCCCTCCTGGCAGCAGGGAGCTGTTAAGATTAGCTCACCACACCTTGTGGAACCTCACCCATAGCTTGTCTTGAGTCTCAAGTCCTGCCATGGTCTCGAAACAACAGCTGAAGTTTCAGTAGACGTTCAGTATACATGCTGATACAAAGCCAAGATAAATGATGAATCAGAGATTTTGTATTTACTTTCTTAGGAGGGCTTTGTAGAGTAGACATAGCCATAACCATGGATAGTCCACTCTGGATCCAAAAAAAAAGAGATTCAGAAAGAAAACTGAGAGCATTCATAGTCAAACAAAACTAAAAGGGAAGCTGATGAACGGGCTTCCTATTTTTTATTATATTTGCCTTGCTGGAAGAACATCAGGAATTCTCTTATGCTGCCAACAAAGCCTGCCTTCTGGTGAGCCTGCCGGGCTCCTCTGGCAGGAGAGATGCTTCTACTCACAGCATAATGCCCAAAAGAGAATTCTGACAGATGGGAAAATGAGGCTGTGGAAGCATTAATGCTTTATCCGTACCCTAACCTCACCCATTCTCCTCAAAGAACATAGGAACGTAGCTCCAAAATAACGCCAAAACAGTTCAGTCAATCTCAGTCTCTCAATTATGCAACTTTGCGTGTCCCCAGCTAAGAGGGAACAGAAAAAGGCTCCTAAAATTTAAGGAATAAAAGTATGAAAAGACACAAATCAGAAAAAAAAGCAAATGAAAGTCTGTGTCTGACAGCTGGGCCGAGGGAAGCACTGGAGGGAACTGCAGCTACTGGCAGTTTCTCTTTACAGTGGTTATATCCCTCACCCTACTAGGAACAGACACTTGTGCAGATTGCAAATAGCAGCTCTGGTATTGCAGCTTCAGGTGTGAGTTAACTGGGTGTTCTGCTTCGGTTCTCAATCAAGGCAGTTCAGCATTTTAATTACCAGCTGTGGAAAAGTTCACACCTTTTTTACACTTGGGCTTGAAGAGTCTCTTTAGTTTCTTTATACCTCATAAATTCTCAGCGTGGAACTCACCTGCACTGTAGCCATCTCTTCTCTCCAGGGATTTGCAGTGCTCCACCCAAGGCAGAGGAGAATCTTCTTTCAAAGCGTGCTTGGAAGTCCTCCTCAGTCTGCATTTCTCTTTGGACCCCGTAAGCTGCTGGTTGCCTGGAAGTACCAACAGTATCGCTGTCTAGTGCCAGATTTTCCTTCTGATCACAGTCAAAAACAGAGGAACAGCAAATGCTGGAGACCACAATGAAAACTCACTCTCTTGGCAGTGAGACTGGAAGATAGAAACAGTGTCATTGATTGAATATCTACTACAAACAAAACAAAAAAGTATGAGAGAGGATCAGTCCATCTCAGTGTAACTCCTGTGAAGCCAGTAATTACAGCGGGATAAGCAAGACTCTGGAGACTGAAATCCTTCATGGATTTCAGACATGCTGCTCTTAGGATCAAACAAATCAATTGCCAAATCACTTGTAGGAACAACTGGATCCTGCTGGAACTTGCCTTGTTCCTACTCTGTAGGAAAAATGAGCCTAAATCCCCTCCACTTTGTGATATCAAAAGCAAGCCC